AAAAGAAATAGGCTTGAATATTTACTTAGGGCAACAGGTAAAATGTGCAGGTTATTTTGCTAATTTTTTTATGTATGTCTCACCTTTGTCTTAAGTAGTATTTTTTTCTGCATCTTTCACAAAAATAACTTTTGTAAAAGGCAATATAGCTACTGTAAATACTAAGCTATCATAAATGGTATTTCCAGAATACTAGATTTTTCTAACTTCATTAACTTTGAAATGTTTATAGATGGAATTATGGAAAATGTAAATGTAGATTATGAGTGAAGCTGTTAGTAAATGGGGAAAACAATATTTAGGAATCTAGAATTTTGAATCCTTTGTTGTTGTTGTTGTTCCATGTTGTGAATTTTCACGGAAAGATATTCTGTGTAAGCACTCTAAGTTTTCTCTCTATAAATATTTCGATAATACCTGCTATAATGATTCCAAAGCCTTCATTTTTAATTTATTTATTGTACTTTTTAGATTTCAAAACAATAAAATAGTATTAGAATTTCGTTGGTCATTTTCTAATTGTTGGAAACTTAGGAAAAGTTGCTTGCCTTTTCTAAGTCTTGTTTTCCTCATCTGTAAAAGAGATTTTTAGAAATGCCTATCTTATAGAATAATTGTGAGAATTAAAGTATTTGTAAGGCATTTAGCACAGTGCTCAGTATATACATTCTAAGTGTCCCATAAATGGTAACTACCTTGGTTATTATTAATGACTGTACTCATGACATCTTTTATTATTATTAAGTAAATTCAGATGATATTTACAGGGTATCCAAACCTTTATTACGTGCATTACTAGGGCAAGCCAGATGGAAAGATAGTTCTCAGATTGTTTTTCTAGTATTCCTAGTATTAATTCTAGTATTAATTCCAGTACCTATGTGGCTCTGACTTTCTACTAGAAGGTAGAGGTAATGTGGATTAAAGATATATGATAGCATTTCACCCCTGGGAGAGTGGCTGTGAAACATACCTTGATCATATGTTGAAATTACAAAATACCTCATTGATTTCTCTTTATCTATTTTCTACTTAATATTGTTCCCTTCATTCTAAAGAATTCCTAAGCCCTTTAGAGCAGTGCTTCTCAAACTTTCATGCACATATGGAGGATTTGGGGATCTTATTGAAATGCAGATTCTGATTCTGTAGGTCTGGGGTGGACCCCTGGACTCTGCTTTTCTAACAGGTTTCCAGGTGATGCTTATGCTGCTGGTTGGAGGACCCCATTTCCCACTTTGCGTAGCAATGCTTTAGTGCATTATAGCTGCGGGATGGTATGATCAGTGCTACAGAGTTTCACAACAACTAATTCCGGGAAAGCTATAGGAGATAGTTTCTTGTAGATTCAGATTATGAAACAATAGACAACAACAACAAAACAAAATTTCAAACCTCCTCCCTCCACCAGATCAGATGATATGATAAAAAACAAGGAGTACCAAATGAGGTTTTAAAAGAACTACTTGTTTTCCTCTCCAGTCAGGGCAATGCCTCAATCAATCCTGGGTTATTGTCACATCCTTCTAGTTAGCCCTTTGGTTCACACCTCTTCCGCTCCCCAGTCTGTTCTCCTTAAACACCTCTTCATCATCCTCCTTCCTTCCACTGAACCCCACACACTCTTCCTTTCAGGATTCCATAGTAGCTTCCATTGCTTACCTCATCTAATATATTTACGTTGACTACATTACTTAACCTCTCTAAACCTTTTTTCTATAAAATCAGCCTGTACTAGATGAGTGTTCCCTAAACCTGGATGACCATTACAGTCATCTGAGGAGCTTTTTAAAGAAATTGTGCACAGCTGGGCCCTACCACAGATGTATGTACTCAGGCATAATCCCCAGTGTGAAGCCTGGGACACTTTGAAAAAGCTTCCTCAACTGATTTTTAACCACTTAACTAGATAATGTCTAAGGCCTCTCTCTGTCCAGCCTAAACTACCTCGGTTCCACTTCTTTGTCCCATTTTTAGGGTTTTCCAATACACGATCTGTACTTTATCTGTGTTATATACTCTGCTCAGTGCCACCCCTACGAGGGCAGAAACTTTGATGTTTTTTTCTGTAATATTCCCCAATATAGTATGCAATACCTGGTACACAGGAGGTGATATTAAATATTTATTGAATGAATGCCTTCCCCCTTTTCTGAATTTCACTATATCTTACTCTACCTTCAGATCCTACCTCTCCAACATAAAGTACTCCTCCAGCAGGAAGTACTTCCCATTTATTTTCTCCCTCATGGATCTCCTCATGAACTGATATAGTCCTGGGTCTGAGTCACACAATTTGTCACCTAATTGTCACTTGTTTTATGTTGGTCATGTTTTATTTGTGTAAGTTTTGTCTCTCCCACTGGAATATGGGAATATTTCCTTAAGAGTAGGAAATATCTTAATAGTTTTTTGTCCTTCTCAGCATTTCTCTACTCTGAGCTCAGAATAAAACTTTAAGTCCTGGGTTCCAGAGCCTTCTATGCTCCAGCAACTTTGATCCCCTGGCTTCTCCTCAAGCATGCCAAGTTTCCAGGCTAAGGGCCTTTGCACTTCCTGTGCCCATTGCCTGGAAGTTTTCCCCTTGATAGCCATGGCTTGTTTCCTTACTTCCTTTGACTTTGCTGAAATATTACCCTTCTGTGAGTCCTTCACTGACTACTGAGTGTAAAATTATACTCCTTGAGCATCTCAGCACTTTTTACCACCATTATCATCTTTGTATCAATAAAAAATTACTGATATTTGTCTCCCCAGAAACATATTAATTCTTTATGAAAGCAGGAGATTTTTGTGTTTCATTCTCTGCCATATCTTTAGCACCCAGAACAATGCCTAACACAGTATAAGCACTCAATAAATATTTGTAGAATACATGTATAGTTGTGATTAGTTGACTTCCATAGGTATTATGGCTCAGCTTCCTTGCCCAAATTTGCTCTCCCTCTGAGAACCTCTGAGAAGTTCCACAGTCTGCCAGTTGATGTCATATCCTATCACTGTCTATAATACTGCCATGGACTATGTACCCTGTTGAGGTTCTTGCAAGAAATAACCTCTGCTGTGAGCCGGGCACAGTGGTATATGCCTATAGTCCCAGGTACTTAGGAGGCTGAGGCAGGAGGATCACTTGAGCCCAGGAGTTCGAATCCAGCCTGGGCAACATAGTGAGAACCCCTATCTCTAAAAAGAGAGGGAGAGAGAGATAACCCCTTTGGTCATCAATTGAGGAACCAGGCAGAGAACTACAGTGCAAAGAATCAGAGTTTCCATGTCAGGTAGACCTGCTAGGTCATTTACCAGCAATGTGGCTTTAACAAGTTAGATCCCAGCGCCTCAATTTCATCAACAGGGATAATAGTGCTACCTTTATTTGGTAGATATGAAGATTAATTGAGATATAAAATGCCAGACACAGGAAAGAACCACTATAAATGTTGGTCCCTTTCCCTATAACCAAGTATTAAATGAGCAGAATTTCTCCCCTCTGAAATGTCCCTTGGTAAAGTGGGAAAATAAGTTCATCCTATAATGTGAAGTAAGTGGAGGTCTAATTTTCATCAAAGCAGTTTATTAAACTTTTGATTTTAAAAGGTTTTGTGTTATATTTTTACAATTTCTCCATAAACATCTTATGATAACAGTTATTTTGATATTTACATGTATACATTCTGTTTCTACTCTCTGCTTGCTGATCTCATTTATCAAAAATCTTCAATTATCACTTTAAGCCTATGATTAAGAAACCTCTGCTCCAAACTTTTCTCCAGCCCCCAATACAAACCTCTTCCTCTAGCATTCCCTGCCTCAGTAAATGGTGAGACCATCTGTATAATTTCTCAAGCCAGGGAGTCATCCTCACCTTTTTCTTTCCCTCTCCAACTGCATCCAATCACTCATGAGGTCCTGCTGAGTCCACCTCCTTGATGTTTAACGCCATTCACCGTTGTCTATACCAGCTGCTGCTGCCTTAGTCAATGCCTGAAGTCACAGACTGCTCTCCTACCTCCAGTTCAGTCTCACACAGTTGACAAAATGATCTTTTTATTATTACATTCTTCTAGTTAAATCATGTGGAAATAAATGAAGACTACCCAAGTGAGAACAGAGACTACTCAGAACTTGCTATAGGGAGGAAGTCAATCACCATCACTTGTTTTTGGCAGGGACTCCCAGACAGGCAGGGAAGCTTTGTAGTGGGGGGTGCGGGGAAGGGGAAAAAGACTTCTAGTATACTTTAATTGTAGGTTGTTGCCATGGGGAAGTTAGAGGTGAGCTAGCTAGAAGTGGGACATCCTGTGTTATGAATTGGGAAGCATATTTGGCTTTCTCTGCTTAGTCCTAAATTGGAAGCAGGGAGGCAAATGGGGAAGCTGGCCGTCATTAACCAAATCCTGACTTTTCTGGACCAATTGCTGCAGAAGTTGTGGCTTGGTTTCGTGGGTTGGTTGCTGTAGAGCTTGTGAACCAGATTTCTTTTTTCATGTACAGTCTGACCCCATGTCTGTTTATGTATTCAGTCTCTCAACCATTTAATGGCTTCTTAAGATCCTTAGTATAATGTACAAGGCCTTCTGTAAAATCCCATGCCAGATTAATAGCTCAGGGCAAAGTGTTCCTCACACCTAGCACAGTTCCTGAAACAAAAAAAAAAAAACCTGCTAATAAATATTTGCAGAAGGAGGAAAAGGCTAAGGAAGGCAGGGGGAGAGAGAAAAATCTTTAGAAACCAGTCAAGCAGGTAAAACCCAGAGTAACATGAAATGATAATGCAAAATAAATAAAGAAGAGGAATCTATACTTTAATCTTTACTACTCCTTGTTTCTTTTTGCTATGGAGTTGAATTCCTTGTATATTCTGGTTATTAACCCCTTGTCAGATGGATAATTTGAAAATATTTTCTCCCATTCTGTGGGTTTTTTCTTCACTCTGTTGATTGTTCCCTTTCTGTACAGAAGCTTTTTAGCTTGATATAATCCCAGTTGTCTATTTTTGCCTTGTTGCCTATGCTTTTCAGGTCTTACCCCAAAAAATCTTTGCCCAAACCAATGTCCTGAAGCATTTCCCCAATGTTTTGTTCTAGTAATTACATAGTTTAAAGTTTTACATTTAAATCTTTAATCCATATTGTTTTGATTTTTGTATATGGTGAGAGATGAGGGTCTAGTTTCATTCTTCTGCATATGGATATCTAGCTTTCCCAGTGTTGAAGAGACTGTCCTTTCCTCAATGTGTGTTCTTGGCACCTTTGTTGAAAACAAATAGGCTGTGAATGCATGAATTTATTTCTGGATTCTCTATTCTGTTCCATTGGTCTATGTTTCTGTTTTAATGCCAGTTCCATGCTATTTTGGTTACTATAGCTTTGTAGTATATTTCAAAGTCAGGTAGTGTGATGCCTCCAGCTTTGTTCTTTTTGCTCAGGATTGCTTTGACTATTGAGGATCTAGTACTTAAAGTTTCCTTCCTCACTTACCTATAAATAACTTTATTATAAAATGCCGTCTTCTTGGTTGCATTTTCTAAGCGTTTGTTAAACAACTAACAATACTATATGTCAGGCCCAGTGGTGGGTGCTGGGGATGCCAGAAAACAAAAGTCTGCTCTCAAGAGAACTTTGGGGCAGGGAGTCATGGAGCATAAACATGTAAACCCTTTCAGAACAATGTGATGAGAATTGTAATGGATATACACTTAGGCTGCTGTGGAAGCACAGGGGAAAGACATTTTTCTAGCCTTTTTCATCCTTTGGGGAGGTAACATCTGAGCTTCATCTTGAAGGATCTGTAGAAATTAACCAAGGAGAGAAATAAGATTGTAACAACGTAAGTGAAAACAGAGGAGGGGGTAAGAGACATTAATGGGGAGTCATTGAAAGGTTTAGATGGGTTATGTTCAGATTTGGGCTTTATTATTCTGACCATAGAGCAGAGGACGTTGTTGAAGGGCACAAGAGTGGAAACAGGGAGAACAGCAGGAAACCTGTGTAATTTAGTGAGAGATAAGAACTGAATAAATCAGTAAGATGGACTGGGCTCAAGAAATATTTAAGATGTAAAACGTGTAGAATTTAGAAGTTTCTGTTTTCTGATGTGGATTACTGGAAGAATGCTGGTACCAACTGAGAGGAGGGGATACCTATTTCAGGAAGGCAATCTCCTACTTGTAGTTTAGAAGCAAGTCTTATCATATATCTGCATAGGCAAACTTAGTGTAATGTGTATGCACACAGAAGATAATTTTATTTCCTAAAGCATGGAAGTGCTGTTATTTCAAATGGTTTCTTGGGTCTTTCAGGGCTAATGAAATTTAAAAACATTAAGATTATAAGATAATACTAGAATTCAGGAGGGTTTTTTTTTACTCCAAAATTTATTTATTCTTACCAGTTCTCATCTGCATTTCATTTTCTCCTTGCTATTTTATTGTCATAAGATTTTTTTTAAGTTGCCAAGGAAAAATATCATACAAAATTAGTGTGTCTGCTGTGATTTCTTGATTCCTATGATATAGAATACTAAGAGTTGTATGTTTTTTAGGGTGTTTTCAAGCCTATGGACCTTAATCATGTCATCAAACTCCTTGAAGAGACTGATAAGGTGAGTAAACTTTGAGAGCAAATTACTCTGCTACATCACTTATAAACTTTTATTTCCCTCAAAGGCAACATAAATTCCTCTAAATGTTAGCTTCATGTATCGCTTTTTGTTGAAGATATTTCAAACAGTGTACATCTTATATTCAAGAAGCATTTGAATTTAGTATGAGCATATTTAACAAAACAGGGAGGCTGGAGGAGAATAGATTTTCTTTTATGGGATGGACAAACCCATGGTGGCTGTAAACAGAAGGAATCATAAGAGTAGAGAAAGGGTCATCTAGCCTCTATAAAGTGCTTATTACCAAGTAGGATTGGAGGAAGGGAGTGGTAGAAAAAAGGTTATCATGATGTACTAATTAAAATTTCCTGATATGAAATCAGGTAATAACACACACCCCCACACATACAAACACATGCATATACATACTCATAGATAATTTATTTTGAGAGAAATCTTATATAGAATGTAATGGAAATGAAATTATTTTGGACACAAGACTCAAAATTGAGAGTTTAGGTATTGGGAGAAAGTATAACAAATGTGTATGCACACATGCTCGTCTACCACATGATATTATCCAGGAATTGACTTAATGCCTGAAAGCAGCACAGACTATAAAATTATGTGGCGATTTCCAAAGAAGAGCATATATTCTTAATAAGTAGAAAATGGGTTAACCACAGTATATCCTATAAAAACAAAACAAGGTCCTATGAATAGCAGGCATAAAAATTTGGTCATTGTTTTAACATTTTTTTTGGTCTCTACTTTTTTTACCTTGAAGAAAAAACAATAACTCTAGAAGAGTAATTTATCTTTTGCTGCCTAAGATTTCTGTGAAAAGTTATTTTTAAATTGTGACTATAGCTGCATTTCCTTAAAAAAGAAAACCTAACTACATAGAACTCCTATTAGCTATTTGTTTGTTTGTTTGTTTGTTTCGAGACAGTCTCACTTTGTTGCCCAGGCTAGAGTGCCATGGTGTCAGCCCAGTTCACAGCAACCTCAAACTCCAGGGATCCTCCTACCTCAGCCTCCCGAGTAGCTGGGACTACAGGCGTGTGCCATCACACCCAGCTAATTTTTTCTTTTTTTAGTTGCCTGGCTAATTTTTTTTTCTTTCTATTTTTTAGTTGAGATAGGGGTCTCCCTCTTGCTCAGGCTGGTCTTGAACTCCTGACCTCAAGCAATCCTTTCGACTTGGCCCCCAGAGTGCTAGGGTTATAGTTATGAGTCACTGTGCCCAGCCTCCTTTTAGCTGTTTAATAAGGCTAGGGAAAAAAAACTATAAACAATGCCATGGCTTCTCAGAAACAATTTAAGAAGATTAAAAGAACAGAAGGAGGGCCTGGCGCGGTGGCTCACGCCTGGAATGCTAGCACTCTGGGAGGCCGAGGCGGGTGGATCGTTTGAGTTCAGGAGTTCAAGACCAGCCTGAGCAAGAGCAAGACCCCCATCTCTACCAAAAATAGAAAGAAATTAATTGGACAGCTAAAAATATATAGAAAAAATTAGCCGGGCATGGTGGCGCGTGCCTGTAGTCCCAGCTGCTCGGGAGGCTGAGGCAGAAGGATCGCTTGAGCCCAGGAGTGTGAGGTTGCTGTGAACTAGGCTGACGCCACGGCACTCTAGCCCAGGCAACAGAGTGAGACTCTGTCTCAAAAAAAAAAAAAAAAGAAAAAGAAAAAGAACAGAAGGAATTCAATCATGAAAACACATCATTGTATAGAATTTGTTTGTTTTCATTTTTAATTGACTGGAGATATTTGGTTTGCACAGAATACTGAGCATATTTTTAAAGTTAAAAATCCAATTTCTGGAGTCAGATTGCCAAATTTGACTCCTCACACCACCACTTTTTAGCTGTATGTTTTTGGGCAAATTACTTAAAGTATTTCAGCTTGCATTTCTTATTCTGAAAAAGAGGGATAACAATAGTATCTTCCTAATGAGTCATTTCGAAGATGAATGAAGTGATATGTATATATAGTGCCTATATGGTACACGACATAGACAAAATGCACAATGTACTTCAGCTATTGTTAATATTGTTTCTGAAAACAATTACTGCTTTTATATTAACCTAGATTTGAGTCCCAATTTCCTAATCAAATTTAAATGATAGTTTTTTTATTGATACATAGTATTTGTACATAGTTATGGGGTACATGTGATATTTTGTCACATGCATAGAATGCATAATGATCAAGTCAGAGTATTTAGGATATCCATCATCTCAAACATTTATCATTTCTATGTGTTGGAAACACTTCAGATCCTCTGTTAGCCATTTTGAATTATACAATACGTTATTATTAACTGTAGTCACACTACTGTGCTATTGACCATTAGAATTTATTCCTTCTAATTGTATTTTTGTACTTACTATCCTACTTCTCTTCATCCCCCCATACTCCCTTCCCAGTCTCTTGTAATTATCATTCTACTCTCTACCTCTATGAAAACAACTTTTTTAGCTCCCACATATGAGTGAGAACATGCAATATTTGTCTTTCTCTGCCTGGCTTAATTCATTTAACATGATGTCCTCCAGTTCCATCCATGTTGCTACAAATGGCAGGATTTCATTCTTTTTTATGGCTGAGTAGTATTCCATTGTGTACATATTGTGTACACATTTTCCTTATCTATTCTTCCACTGATAGACACTTAAATTGATTCCATGTCTTTTCTATTGTGCATAGTGCCACAGTAAACATGGGGATGCAGGTATCCCTTTGATATACTGATTTCCTTTCCTTTGGATAAATACCCAATAGTGGAATCACTGGATTGTACAATAGTTCTGATAGTTTATTTTTATCATCACTGTTTCAGGAAACATTTTATAATGCTTACATCATAATATAGTAATTTAAGAATTACTTGATAATTTTAATGTGTGTACTTTGTTTTTATATTGAAGAAATTTTTTAAAATCTCAACAGGTTTAATACCATAAAAAAACTAAAATAGATCATTTGTTTTAGGATGATTTAGAAGAAAAACAGCTTAAATGTGTTAAGAAACTGGTGCAGTGTTATCAGAATGGACTTGTATCCTTTACATATATATGTATGTTCATTTCATTTATCCTGAATCAGAATTTCTGTTAGAAAATATTTTAGTTTCCTACTGCTGCTATAACAAATTACCACAAATTTAGTGGCTTAAAACAATATACATTTATTATCTTATAGTTTTGGAGGTAAGAAGTCCAAAATCAGTCTCACTGGGCTAACTAAAGTTAAAATATTGGCAGCTGGATTTTGGAGCATTTCAGCATTTCATTTAAAAAAAAAAAGAAAAAGAAAGAAAGAAAAAACAAAAGATATTGGCAGGGCTGGTTCCTACCGAAGACTCTGAGAAGAGAATCATTCCTTGCCTTTCCCAACTTTTGGAGGCTTCCTGTATTCCTTGGCTCATGCCCACTTCCTCTCAGTGGTATCACTCTCACTCACCTCTGCTTCTGTCGTCATATCTCCTCTCTCTGACCCTCTCCTGCCACCCTCTTTCCCTTGTATGGATCCCTGTGATTACATTGAGCCCACTTGGATAATATAGTCTCATTTTCCCATCTCAAGATCCTTAACTTGTCCTGGGGATTAGGACAACAACATCTTTGGGGAGGCCATTATTCTGCCTACCACAGAAAATATCTAACATTTTGTATTTTTTATAAACTATTTTCTATCAGAAAGTAGAAATAATATTGAAGAAACAGTATAACACAATTAACTGTGTGGATAATGTCAGTTTCTATAGTTTCAGAAAGACAGTGGATTTAGTTAGGAGGGCCATGTCAAAGTCTTGTTTCTGTCAATTTATGTGAGAGTTTTACCTTTGATAAGCTTCTTAACTTCTCTACCATTATAAAATAGAGATAATAGCACCTCATAAAATGGTTAGGAAGACCAGATGAAATAAGGTACATGCAAATGCTTGATAATCTGCAAAACATTGTATATTATCCCCACTGAATATACCACCCTAATTAGAATACATGGAAACCAGTGTGTCTTAAAGCTCTCTGTGCATAAGAACCAGTTTGTTGTTGGGTTTTTTAAAAGCCTTTGGGCATATGTGCTATTGTAAATTACAATAAAAGTATAACAGGAATATCAGATTGTTATAAAAGTTTTAAATGTCCACCCACTTTCTGTATTCATCTTGTCACAGACTGGTAACATACAATTCCAGAACTGACAGTAGTCCATAGCATAGACCACACGTTTAGTAGTACTGATCTAAATGACTTGAGAATTGTCTGACTTGGTCTAAAGAACGTATCAGTCTCTATATTAGCTTATTCAAAACCTCCTAAGCCTTCTATTTAGGGAAACGTACCTCATAGTTGTATCTAAATCTTTTCTTACTACATTTTTGCCTTGATTTTATCTGGATCTGTAGGTCAGTCTGAGAGCTTGTATAATAGATATCAAGCACAATTTACTGGTAGCTGAAAAAGTCCACCAGCAAGTGATTTCTTCTCTAATCTTAACCTGACACCTGCATCATTTTTTTTTCCTTGGGTTCGACGGTTGGTGACAAATGGCTCTATTTCTGGATGCCTTTCATAGGCTGGCTTTAGAAGTTATAAAATTTAGCAAAGATAAATTAAGGGAAGTATCTTAATCACCTCTCTAGGAAGTTAACAGAGCTTTATACTTACCTAGCTCTCCCGTCTCTTCCTAAGAAGGTCCTATAAAGAGTCTAGAAGTAATAGGATTCAACCAAGAGGGTAAGTCATAACTACCATGATTTCTTAGCTATAAAACAAAATCAATGAAATTTGTTTATGTACCAATAGAATTTTTTAAATAAATAAAATAAAGATACTTTTTACCTGAATATCTAGAAAGGGTACATTTTGCTTTCATGCTAGTTTTAAATGAAACAAAATACCAACTAATTTAAACCTTAAAAACAAGAAAATGCATCTGAGTTAAATATTAATAAAGTAGTACAGTAAAGTAAGGTTTGGATTGCTCATTGCAGGGCAGTGTGTTTGTGTGTGTGTATTTGGGGGAGGAGCTGGAGATGAAGGATATAATTGAGCTTAATCAAAAGTTAATTTTTTTCAATGTATTATTACTCATTACCAATAGGAAGTTACCAATCAACCAAATCAGTGTTACAGAAATTGGCAATCTAGATTTAAAGTTGTTTCTTATTTTAAAAAATTGAATAAGAGGTTACTGAGACAAAAATTAATATTAAAAAAAAATTTGGTTCTAAGTTTTCCTCTTTAGGCTTCAAAGTAAGAATAATTAAAGCAGTATTCTACCGTATTTAACAAAATAGATGGAATTCTATCGATTTTCTTGACAAAAGTACTACAAAGATATTAATCTTAATTTTATTTCTTAACCAAAAATATTAAAGTCCTTAAGGGATTTAGCACAGATATTTAAAATTCTGAATCTGTGTGCAGGAAAGATTGAAAAACAGCCCCGTTTCGTGGAATCTGCATGTGATATCCTAAAATTGTGTGGGTAAGTTGTCTTTATTTTGTATTAGCATGCATTTTATTATGTTTTACTTTGCATTATAAAGATATTATACATTATAGTATAGCAGAGTGATACAGAACTCAGAAAACTTCAGTTAATGGCTTGATTCTAGCAGTTGGTATTGCAAAGATAGTCAATTTCATTGTAGTTTGAGATTATTAGCCACAAGAGATTAAAACTGTAAGTAAACTAAAAGGTTTTCTTGTAATTAGTTGTTCTCAGCAAATGATAAATATTAGATGAAACCAAGGAATTGTAGTATTTTTAGAAAATTGATTAAATTTATGAGTAATACATATAGTTTCAGTCTAGTTTTTTTCTCTCTTTAGAAAATTTGGCTCTCCAAAGTATATTAGGTTATATGTAATGTTTTATTTGGTTTTCCAAATTTGAATGAAGAATAAAATATTACCAGTTATGTTTGTATGTATTTGTAAAATGTAAATTAGAGCTAAGAATTATGAAGTTAATATGTCTCATCCTTTCTACTGTTATTTTTCCTTCTGGTTCTGGGAACTGTGAATATACTATGCTTCCTTGCTGCCACATAGTGGCTAATCTAGGTATATATTAAAATATCCATTTTTAGTTGCTTAATATAATATGGTAGAGGAAAGTTCTTAAAGTGGAAATAAACCTTTTTGACAATTTTACCTTCTAAACCGTTCTACCAATTTAACTTTTTAAATTGTTTCTTTCAATATTCAAATAGTAGAGAGGTTTCGTAGGACTATGTATACACAATAGGTGCTAATGCACTTTTAGGTTTAGTAGCAATAATATTTAAAATTTCATAATTATTTACATTTAATTTTTTGATGTGTGAATAAAATCAAAATAATTTATTGAATTACTGCACTATGCCTTTCTAATAGGGACTATGGAAAATAAATAAATGATTGCTCTGGTGTTTTCAAGGAACTAATTGGAAATTATTATTATATTAACGTGAGATTGTATTATGTAGAACTCTTTTAAATTTCAAGGCTATGCAAGTCCCCGAACACCAAGTTCATAAGCGTCACTTTCAACATCAGTGCTCCTACAGAGCTCTGCCCAAAGTTGGTTCTCTATGAAAGCTTGTGACTGAATGTTTCATTGCATTATAGGACAAATCTTTTGAACTGCGGTCTTCACTTTCCCTCATATTTCATAATTACTTACATTATTGATTTTTTCTATTTATAAATTTCTGCTTGTGTCCTAAAAATATCTACACCTCATCCTCACTTGTGTCTCTTTTCAAGACTTTTTTGGGAGATAAACACATTGAAAATAAAAAAAAAATAAAGTCAAGCCTTTCTATTTTGGCCCTTAAGTTGTATGTTTTTCTCATTGCATCAGAAGTATAATGCTTATTTTTTATAACCTTTTTTGGTTGAAAACTCTTCTGATGCTTTATCTTATAGGTTGTCTCCTATGATAGAAAAGGAAAGCTTAGGGACAAAAAGCACTAGTTTTAGAGTTCTTCATTGTAGAGATCAAACAGTCAGCTGGATAGCAAGTAATAAGTTATTTGTTTCAAATGACAAATTCTAACTAACATTAGAAATGAACCTCTGTGGCATTTATATAATTCTCCTTGTCACAGCTTGCCCTTCAAGTATCTTTAAATTAATTGACCTGTATCTTCATGTGATAGTTCTCAATGCCATTTTTCAAACCCTTGGTTAATTTTTCTTGAAAAACATGAATTAAAAGTCCTATATATACAGGATATGTTATACTTTCAGTAGTATAGGAGGTTCAAATTTTGAATTCATGAAATGTCGAAAGTTTATATATTTAAGATACAACTTTTATGTTGCCTTTGAAATTTAGACTAATAACCCTGGTTCATGTGCCTGATCTTTTGTGATTTGTAAATAAGTTATTCTCAAATAACTTTAGTTATAGTAGCTGTGAAATGCAATTCTAATATAATTAATTCTTGTTAACCTGAATTCCTTAGTGTCTGCAAAAGCATTCTGTTATTTTGTGGATAGTAACTAATCCAGTTAATAAGGAAAAGAGTACTGACCTCTAAGAACAAATAGTCTATTGATCTATTAACTAGCATTTTGAAAACTTCAGAATAAGCCCTTAAACAGTTTTTAAGTTATAGGTCAGCCTTGATCTGTGGTTTGTATCAGATTATCCATCATCTTCCCTTGATAGAATTATAGCTATAATTCATTATTATTTTGCTCTCAAAGGGAAAGAGGATTCCTAAGTTTTTTATTCATGCAGTGATACAAAATGGCTTTCTAAACCTATACATTTTATATCCATCTCTCTTCATTTTTATAAACCTATTTTATTTTCTTTGTAATCAGTCAGTTAGAAACACTTTCCTTTTTATAGTTGTCGATTCCCCAGGGCTAAAGAATAGGATATCACCCTGATTTTATCCTTTAGAAAAGAAATTTCCCCTACTTTACAAATGATGCTTCAATTAAGGACTGTATTAAAAATTACACTTACATTCTTCATTACTATTGAAGCTTGCCATTTTTGAAAAAGAAAGTATCGGATGAAATAACTTATGCTGAAGATACTGCTAATTCAGTTGCACTTCTGGGTAAGTTAAGATTTCCTAAGATAGAGGGAAATGTCTAATTTAGCTATGTTTCACTACGAGTACTTGTTCTCCATATTTAGGTTCTTCTCTTATTTTCTAGTTGGGAATGAATTATAGCGTGCTTGATAATAGTTCTGGCATTATTTTCTACTCAGATATTTCACGATAATAATAAGAATATATGTTCCTTAAGTGCAGGTAATGGCAGATACCTCTTTGCACTTACCTGATTTGGTATTATTTAGTTTGATGAAATGTTTTTTAACTTTTCTTGTAAATCAGAAAGTTTACATCTCCCTCTTTTAGTAATCACAGAAATGTTTTAAACTTCAAACTCTAATACTTAATTACTAGAATCATTGAGTGTTTAATTATTCATTAAATGATCTAAAATTTTAAATAAAATCATAAAATGGTAGAACATTAAGAACTTTACCATAATATACATAAAGATGCAGATATCTCTATTTTGTGCATAAAAATATGAAAAATATCATAAAAGAGGAGGCATTTATATCTGGGTTATTGCTTGATTTTCTAGAGAAAGAAAATAATTTCCTAGGAAATGAGATCAGTGAAACACTAGATCTTTGAGTCAACTCCTGAGACATGACAGCATGTTCCCAAAACAAATCCTACATTAAATTTATGCTTATTAATTTAAGTCTTTATTTTCATAGGAGAAATAAAAGATATGTGATTGACCTGATACATTTTTTTAAAAAACATTTACTGAATAATTACGTTTTCAGCATTATAATCCATACAGAAAAGTGTTAGAGATTCAACTGGAATGAGTAAAAAAGGATTTTTATTTTTAACATAGACACTAACCCCTTTATATCTAAATAAGTGTATAGTCTTTAATTGTAATTACTTTAGACAAACTACCTAGAGTTCATCTACCCTATGGCCTAGAGTAGGTGAAGGTACCGTAGAGATTAGATTAAACATGAGTAAAGAACACCTTAGGAAGCAGGAAGATTGAGAAATAATGAAAAATTTTAATTCTGTGATGATAGAAATTTTAATTCTATCAGTGGAAATTTACAGTGAGAAACCAAAAGAGGACATCGTAGTATTAACAAATAAAAAGTATAGGTTTCGTTGGTAACATTACTTAAAAAATGCCCTTTTTGCCCTTATTATTTTAAAATGTTGCCTCTGAGAGTGTTAAAGACATTTGTATTATAAATACATGGTCCATTTCTTACTGTCAGCCTGCTTTTTGCTTAAGATTGGTCACCTGTCTACAGAACACGTTACTGTCTTATTTGAGGGTAATATGAATTCTTAGCTTTAGATGAGCTTCCTTCACTAATTACTGACTGCAAGTATTGCTGTTCTGTCCCTAATTTTTTTTTTTTTTTTTTTTTTGAGACAGAGTCTCACTCTGTTGCCCAGGCTAGAGTGAATGCCGTGGTGTACTCCTGAGCTCAAGCAATCCTTCTGCCTCAGCCTCCCGAGTAGCTGGGACTACAGGCATGCACCACCATGCCCGGCTAATTTTTTCTCTATATATATATTTTTAGTTGTCTAGATCATTTCTTTCTATTTTTTAGTAGAGACAGGGTCTCGCTCTTGCTCAGGCTGGTCTCAAACTCCTGACCTTTGAGCGATCCACCCGCCTCGGCCTCCCAGAGTGCTAGGATTACAGGAGCGAGCCACCACCCGGCCTGTCCCTTATTTTTTTAATTGCCAGAAACATGAGTTTAAACTAAAATAGTTGTATGTAGGATGAAATGTTAAACAAAAACTATTCATGATTTTTACTAATAACTTCCAATTTCTACTATGTACTAGTTAAGTTATAGTACGTTTTCTTCCAAATAATACATAAATATTTCTGACTCAGGAGCAGGATTCTGGGAGTGGATTAAAGAAGAAGTTGATACTGTGCCCCAAGATTATGAAACAGGAAATTACGAGATATTATCCAAATTTACAGGGAATAAAAGGGTGGAGAAGCAGATGAGAAACTCTAGAATTTTCCATAAAACTGAATATTTGGGTAGTTTTATTAGAAATTTGCAGTTCTTGTTGCCTAAAGCTTTTTAAATCCTACTGATTCTCAAACTCCAAAAGAAGGGTCCAAAAATAAAATTAAATTAAATTAATAGTTAGAATAATCTTGAAACTGTCTTTTGCAGACAGATTTTCCTAAAGCAAGGGTCAGGCTTTTCTTTGTGCTTCTTCCTTTTGTCCACTTGTTTCCCTACTTACTGACCACCTCCAGAGATGAACATTATGCAAGGCCTAATGCAAAGGAGAAATACCTAATTATTCTCTTACCCTCAGAGACTCCAACCAGATTTGGTTCAGTCCTAAAGCTGATGCTACTGACTGCAGATGTCCTCAGGCATCCAGAGAACATGGATCATTTCCAGAGTTTCACAGATCATTTTCAGATTTCACTGGGGATCACACTTGTAGTACTTCAACAGAGTAAATGCAATCCAGTTTGAAATACAAGCTAAAGCCAATTCTGTAGTAGTTTAAATATGACTGAAAAGGAACCGTTTCTATTCCCCAGCCTTACCTAGATAACTTCAACATAAAAGTATTACATTTGCCCATAGGGCAGACTGTCTTAAAACCGCACTCTCTTTCAGTCTGCCAGCAAATTGAAGAGCAAAGCTCACCTGGAACTTCTCGAAGCAAAGAATGTATTATTAAAGGCAACAAATTACTGACTCTCAGGGAGAAAAATACTAACCCATATCTTGCCAAAATAGTAATAGTAGCTAACACATGTAGAACACTATATGCTAGACACTGTTCTCAGCCTTTTTCTCCTATTAACTCATTTAATCCTCACAATGATCCTAAATGTAGTAAATATTATTATATCTGTTTTATAGATGAGAAGACTAAGCTACAGTTTACACAGGTAGTAAATGACAGAGCCAGGATTTAATCTGACAGTCTGGTTCCAGCATTTATGTTATTAATCATTATTCTTTTCTTCCTAGGAAAAAAAAGGCTGAATTGATTGAAGGGCCAAATATATAAGGATAGGTCCAGGGTATTGTGTATGTGTATATGTATGTATGTATATATGCATATATATGCAAATATATATAATTATACTTAATCCAATTTGAATCTCTGAAAATATTTTTAATAATCATCATGTTATTAATATTTATGCTTAAATTTGAACGTAAGCTTATGACAGTGTTATTACATAGCCCTCATTTATCTTCCTGGCAGGTGACTTAATGAAAATACCAAGTTCTCAATTGAGGATACAAATTTGTAAGTGTATTGTTGACTTTTATCATGCAGAACCACCAAAGAAGCATATTCCAGGTAAAGTTTGCAATGGTCCTTCAGTAATAGCTTGTGTATTAAAAGGACAGAATATTCTGTCTCATTTCTCTTTAAATTTGAAAGACACAGTGGGCTCATAAATGTAACACATTAAAAATAAAACTCTTTTTTATAATCTTGAGCTCTTCAGTCATCCTAAAAAAGTTTGTATATATATTTCTTCCAGTTTTAGATTTGCATATTTTTATTCTGATACTAAATATTTATGACACAATTTATAAAGTCACACCCAAATTAGTTTAATTACAATTATTACTATTCATTACTGTTATTTAGTACTTTCAATAAATTATTTTTTAAAATTATTTTTCTATCATATTTTATAATTATTCATAATATCTTTCCAACCCAATTAGATGTTAAATTAGTAATTAAATTAACTAATGTTAAATTACTAATACTAAATTACTAATGCTGGTGCCATTCTCCATCATGTTTGAGAAAAGAGTTCTGTACGTTACAGCTCAGGGATCTTAATATATAATGGTAAAGTGGACCTCACTGAAATGGCTGGTATCAAGATGGGGGCCACTTGCACTGTGACAATATAATGTTATTTAAGACATACTTCATACCTTCATAGTTTCTGTAATTCATAATCTAGGAAGTGAGAGAAGATATAAATAATATTTTTAAAGTTATATGTTCCTTAATATAGGTGGAAATAAGAGTCTGTGGTAGTTCAAAGAAAGATTATTTATGACTCGGGAAAAGTGGGAAGACATCTGAACTAGAGAAATGAATAAGGAGATTATTAAATGTCAAATTTGAACTTTTGATGAGATAGGTAGAAGTGTTTGGTAGATACTAGACATGGATACTAAAAGCATACAGGTTTGGAATCCACCCAAACAGAGAGGAAAATTGAATCCATTAGAATGGTTGAGTTTGCCAGGAGATAAAGCATGTAAACAGCAGGGGACCAAGAATGACATCATGGAGAGTGCCCATATTGAGGTTTGGAAAAAATGATTCAGAGAAATTAGCAGTGAAGGGAGGTTCAAAGAGGAGGAAGACCTAAAGACTGCCACATGTTGTGTGCCAATGAATGAAATGTTCGATGAAGGAGGAAGTGGTTTCAGTGTTAAATGCTGCAGAGGCTTCTGTAATTGAGGAATGAAAAGGCCAAGTTAATGTGGTATCTGAAAAGGTGTAGTTAATTTTTGACAGATGTATTGACATAAAGTGGTCGTTGCAGATGCAGGATTAAAGAATGAGAGGATTTTGAGAGTAGAGGCAGTTCATGAATGCAGACTTACATTTTAAGATCAGAATGTGAAGAGAAAAGAGGAAGATGGAGAACGGCTCAACTGTAAAGAAAGGGTATTAAGGTTTTGATGTTTTTAGGATAGGAAGAAATGATGTTTGTAGGCAGATGAGCTAGAAGCTGGTGAGTGAGAAATGGGAAGTCAGAATTCTCAAAGAAACCATGAGAGGATGGACTTAAAAGCACAAGCTTAGAGTTAACCTTGGCAGAATAACAAGCACCCTTCAAAGAATGGGAGACAAAAGGTGTAAGAGTTAAGACAGAGGAGTGTTGTGCTGTAAAGAAGTGAGATTGACCTTAATTTGATCAAGCTCTGAGAATTGGGAGTTTTAGTGCTCTCACTAACTGTCACACAGTTTCAAGTGATGGGCATGGCTGGACATCCGAGACCACAGCTGAAAATTCCTCAGTATAGTAGTTAAAAGAGACATAGCCCTGGAGGCAGGAATCAAGTCCATGAACCTTACTAGTGCTATATCCTTCTATAGAAAAAGATACAGTAAGTATGAAGTACATTTTGGCCCATCCGTATGATAGACTATTATGCAAATAAATCATGATTTTACAAAAAATATTTTACAGCGTGGGGAGACACAATAAAAATTTTAGTGGCTACAGTAGAATATAAAATTCTATATATAGTATGTTGTTAAAATTGTATGCATATATTAAAAATATCAGCAAGAAATAATACCAAAATGTTAATGTTGTTATCTCTAGATGGTAAAATAGGCAATTTTCGTCTTCTTCTTCATACTTTTTAAATGCCTTTTTAAATTCATTCAGTGAGTTGCTAGGGCATACCATACAGAACCCATCACAGCAATGGACAGGGCTTTATCCACAACAAGAGATCAAATTTAGGAAGATAAGACAAACTGACAGACATCTCAGAACTCAGGTCAGAGTTAAGGAATCTAGTTGGTCTCAAAAGTCAAAAGTCAGACAATTAGGTAAGTGAAATCACTAAGAGAGAAAATAGCCTCGTCTCAAGTAAACAAGTATCCTCTGGAGTTTATTTAATCCCTCTCTTTGAATGTGGTTAGGCAGACACCTGCATCAAAAGGAGAGGTAGTGTTTCTTACAGGTGCTGAGGCAAAAGGAAATTCTTATATTAATCAGACATGTCACCAAGAATCAAGCTCCCCTAAAATACCATTAAATTCATTAGCATTTATCAGAGCAGCATTACATTTTTCACCTCTTATTTCATTGTGGACACCACATAAATGTCATCTCTTGAAAGCACTGAAGTAAAACATTGACCCAAATAGTGAAACTGAATAGTGAAAACATTCAGTATGTGTAATTACGCCATTTTCCTTTATGGAAAGTCATTCGTACTGACAAATAAGAAATATTGTTTTCTTTTATAATGTAAGATGTATCCCCAAAATTTGTGGTCCTATTTCAAATACCATGCCAGAATCAGCAAACTATGGACCCCAGGCCAAAATAGACCCACTGCTTTAAATAAAGTCTAGTTGGAACACAGCCATGCCTATGTATTTTTGCATTGTTTATGGCTGCTTTCTTGCTACAATATCATGCTACAATGTGCTACAGAATTGAGTAGTTGATAAGAAACCTTATAACCTACAAAGCTTAACATACAGTCTGGCCCTTTACTAAAAAAATTTGCCCATTCCTATGCTATACAATTCTTAAATGCCATACACTTTTTAAAGGTTGTTGGTTATTGCTGTTGCTTAATGATAGATAACTTACTCATTCCTTTGGTCTCAATGATCATTATGTGAGATAACTGTATATGTTTATTAATTAATTGTTGTTAGGTTACCAGCAAGCTAGTTCATCATACAAGATTCAAATGGCTGAAGCTGGAGGATTAGCAAAAACAATGGTCCAGGCAATGACTTTGCTTGAAAATCAACTTATTGAGAAACTTTGGGTACTGAAAGTTCTGCAACATCTCTCAACTTCTGGTTAGTATAATATTAAGTTTGAACACTTTATCATCAACTATTTTTGTTTCCATCTAACAATGTCAATATTATAAAACAAATAATTTTTTAAATTTATTTTCAGAAGTTAATTGTACTTTAATGATGAAAGCACAAGCAGCCAGTGGAATTTGTGCTCACCTCAATGATCCAGATCCCTCTGGACAGCTTCTATTTCGTTCTTCAGAAATACTTTGGAACTTATTGGAAAAATCTTCAAAAGAAGAAATAATACAACAGCTTAGTAACTTTGAATGTTTGCTGTAAGTATATGTGGTTAGACAGGAATGTTTTTTAACCTTAAAATAATAGCCAGTGACATAACTAACATCTTTGTTTAAATCCGTGGTCAATTAGACTTTTGATTCATGTAATGGCTATGTTTCAGAACATATTTTTTGTGCCATGATATAAATGAATCTGCACAATAACAAGTGCGGATTCTTTCTATGTGGAAGGCTCTCAAAGTTGGTTATTAAATTATGCCTTTGAGTCTGTAACATAACATTAGACGTTTAGAAGAAGAATTTATTCATTCAGTAAATCTATTAAGTGTTTACTCTGTTCTAGATATTGCAGGAAGCATTAGCAATAAAATGTAAGTCTTCAAGTTGCTTATTCACTTTATTCAACAAATGAATATTGTCTGCTCTGTACCAGTTTCGGTACTAGGCCACAGAAATATACTTGAAAATAATATAGGCATGGTCTCTATTTGCATGGAATTTAAATTATGCTAGTAGAAATAGGCAAATAAATAGACAACTAAAAGAAATTATACTAAATGTTATGAAAGAGATTATTGGTAGGCACTACACATTTTTCAGAAGGTAAATCAGCACATTTTTTTTGCAAGTGACCAAAAACCTAACCCACCTGACTTAAGCAATATAGGAAATTTATAGACTCGTGTAGTTACAAAGTCAAAGGATAAAACTAGTTTCATGTGCAGCTTTCTTCAAGGTTGCACATGGCTTGGTCTCTGTTCATCTCTTTGCACTGTCTTCCACTGTGTTGTTAGCTTCACTCCCAAGATCCACATAGTAAGACCTAAGAAGTCTAAGTTTACATCAAATCAAGCAGAAGAGAAGCCTTGTTATCCTGAAAGCTCAGAAAAAAATTTTTGTATTGAGTCTTTGTTGGCTCTGAATGGTCTGACGTTGGTCAAATGCCCATTCCAGAGTGAACCATTAATACTAATGCCAGCGGAAAGAATTCTCTGACTGGCTAAAAGGCAGCTAAAGGCAGCTTCACAGGACCAAAAGTCAGGGAGGAGTGAATGCCCAAATAAAAATAAGGGTGCTATTAACATAAAAAGGCCAAGTGGGTCACAGGGGCCAAAGCAACAAATGTCTACTGTAGAGGAAACTTCACCCAGAGTTGGAGAGTTAATAACTGCTTCCTAATGAACTCCAATCTAGTATCTGTGTGATAAATAGGAATTGCCTACACAGAAAAGTTTTACATGCAGAGAGCATCCTAGATAGGAGGAACAGAAGTGAAAACAGAACTTATCAAAATCAAAATTCAATATGATTAGAGCATAAAGAATAGGGTAGAATGGTGAGAGACAAGGCTAACAATGTTTGCAGAGACCATAATGTGAAATGCCTAATAAGCCTTTTAATAAGGAGGGGGGGCTTTATTCTAAGACCAAAAGAAGTTTTAAATGGCTTTAAAAAGGAAAATGACACGATTGAATATTTTAAAGTGGTCACTTTGACTGCCATGTATAGTATGGGTTAGTGGATTCTTGTCTAGTACATAGTGAATTAGAGGCAGATTTGTGGAAAAATTAGAAACACTTTCAAACGACTAATAGTATAATATACAAAGGAAGAGTTCTCTGGGGTCCCTTTTATAAGGGCACTAATTTAATCATGAGGGCTCCACCCTCATGACCTGATTACCTCCCAAAGACCACACCTCCTAATACCATCACATTAGAAACTAGGGTTTCATCATATGAATTTTGATGGGACACATTCATTTCATAACAATATGATTTTTAAAATATTTTACTTTCCAGGGCTTTGAAGGAAGTATTTAAAAATCTGTTTATGAGAGGTTTTAGTCATTATGATCGTCAGCTTAGAAATGATATATTAGTAATCACTACAATTATTGCTCAAAATCCTGGAGCACCAATGATTGTAAGTATGAATCAAATTGCATTAATTTTAATTGTGGAAGTGGTGGGAATGGGGGAAGGGAGTCTCAATTATGTTATAATATTTATATATTTTGTTATAATGCCAAGTTATGCTGTAATGTCATGATGGTCACCAGTATACTTATCACTCTGCCAGTTCCTTGCATTCCTTTGGGAATTTGGCATCCTCCTCATATTTTGTGATTTATGTACATATTTACCACATATGATGCTTTTCTTTTCTTCCTGATGATTCCAATTTCCATCTGGCATCATTTCTCTTTCCCTGGAAGAACTTCATTTACCATTTCTTATGGTGCTGATCTGCTGGCTGCTGGCAACAAATTCCCTTAGCTTTCTTTCATCTGAAAATATCTTTAATTCATCTTAATTCTTGAAGTCTATGTTGACTGAATATAAAATTCTAAGTTGAAAAAATTTTTCTTTTGGCATTCCAAGATAATGTACCACTGTTTTCTGGCCTCCATTGTTTCTGACGAGAATTATTCATTATTTCAAATCATTGTTTCCCTATGTACAATGTATCATTTTTTTTTCTGTATGTGTTCAAGATTTTCACTCAGTCTTTGGTTTTCAGCAGTTTTAATATGATGTGCCAAGGGCGATCTTTGTATGTATCCTAGTCAGGGTTCATAGAGCTTCTTGGATATACAAATTTACATCTTTATTTGGAGAATTTTTGGCCATTAGTTCTTCCAGTATTTTTTCAGCCCCCCCATTCTCTCTCCCTTCTTCTTCTGGGACTCCAATTACTTATACATGTGACCTTTTGATATTGTCTCACAGGTTTGTTTACTTTTATCAATCATTTTTCTCTCTGTTCTTCAGATTGCATAATTTGTATTAGTTTATATATTTAAATTCACTGATCCTTTTTTAGATTTCCATTCTGCTATTAATCCCATCCAGTACATTTTTTATTTCAGATATATTTTTCAATTTTATAATTTACTTTTGATTCCTTTTTATAGTGTCTGTTTGTCTGCTGAGAGTTGCTATCTTTCTGTTCTGTATGAGTGTCTTTACTGTGGGTTGTGATGTACTTCTCTGAAGATCATTTTTTTAATTAATATGCATTTTACTTGGCTATATACATCCCTGTGGTGGATGGCAGCCCAAATCTCAGTTCAGTTCTTCTAGCCTGGGATGCTTGACTATTCCCTGCACTGTGTGGTTCAGGCATAAGTCAGAGATTTAAGAAGAGTTTGTACACAGAATTTGGGGTTTTCCCTCTGTGGTTCTTTCCTTTATGAGATTTCTCCCTTCACTTTCCATTTCTGTGGTTACCTTTGTCCTTTGGTTCTTCAAGCCACTGAGACCACAGGTTTATTGAGTTTTAGCATCCTGACAAGGTGCAGAACAGGGCCTGCTCTCAGGCCAAAAGCCATATTTTTTAAAAGTGGGAAACATATAATGCCATTTCCTTCTTCAAAATCCTAACTTCCTTACAGTGTCTGCTTACTCTTGGTCACAAGATAGTTTTTATATTTTGTTCAGAGTTTATAATTGTTACCAGCAGGAGGATTTATCTTATAGGATCTACTCATGCACACTAGATACTTAGCCTCTCCATATTTTATAATATAAAAATCATCAAATGGATGAAATCCTAGAAGAAAGATCTTTGGCAATAATTTTAACATGTCAGCCACATACTTTTTAGTTGTACTTCAAAGACCTGGCTATGAAGGCATCAATCCCCTATCATTAGACATCAAGTGGTCCATATAGGAGTCATAGAATTTTTACTGTACAAATAGGGAAAACATAGCATCCTAGTTAAGGATGCAATTTGTAGATAGACTTTGTTTCTCTGGAAGCCCCGTGTCAATTAGTAAGTTCTTGTTACTGTCCTTGCAAACATTGAGATGAATTTCATGAACATGAGTCAAAGGAATAACATCCTCACCATTTAAAGAAACCATATGGATCCTAATGTAGTAGGAATGTAAAGCTATAAGCTCAAAAGCCCAGGGATTGGTCCTATAAACTTTTCCTAATGTGCAAAATCCAACTAGGATATTTCTGTCAGGAATGAACTCCCTCATGCTGAAATGTTCGCAACTCTGGTCATTCTTCAGGGCTTTTCATGTGAGGTAGCAACTATTTTGTTATCACTTAGCCAAATATTTGACATAATGAGAATGACTGGAGTAGGGGTTAGGGTGTTTAAGAAGAAAAACTGTTGAAAATAACTGGATTTTCTCCCTTATTGTGTCACTTGACACAATATAGTATAGCTAATGAATTACAGAAGTAACTATGAAGGACTAATACGTTTTGGGTTCTTACCGAATTTTAAACAGTATCTTGGAAAATATTCATAGAATAATATAAAATATTTCTTAGAACTTACAGAAGCAAGTTTAAAATTAAATAAATTGCAAGTTTATCTGGCTATATGCTCTCTTTTTTTTTTTGCTTTATCCCCATACTATTATTAATGCTTTATGAATTCAAATGAATGACAATAGGAGATTTGATAAATGTACTTAAGTAGTAGGTAAATTTGGCTGTCTGTATCTTAATTTCCATCTAATTAATTCATCGTTCTGCTTGTTTTGTGTATTTCTATTAGGAATGTGGCTTTACTAAGGATTTGATACTGTTTGCAACCTTTAATGAAGGTAAAAACCAGAAAACTTTGAACTTTTTATAATTATCTTGAGGAGTCCTGTACCTCATTTCAGCTTTCATTTTACTCCTTTTTTTCCCTCACAGTTAAAAGTCAAAATCCTTTGGTAAAAGGACTTAAGCTTTCTAATTCCTATGAAGATTTTGAGTTGAAGAAATTGCTATTCAATATAATTGTGATCTTATGTAAAGATTTACCTACTATACAGGTAAAGAGTAATCAAAACAGGAAAATTAATAAAAATTGTCTCACTTTGTAGTATAACTTTTTTAAAGTCCTGATTGCAAATCTTTCATCAACTTATGTGTTTACCATAGAAAGTGACAAACTCTTACTGGCCTGAATTTTAGCTTTAAAATTTTTCTTTGCTAATTTGTTATTAAACAGTAAAATACTTAAATTTAAACCACATAAACCAAAGAAAAACAGTAGTAGAACCTGAGCTTTTTATTAATATATTTAGATCTCTTGAATAAGAGCATAAAATGAAAGAAATTCCACATAGGCCCTTCCAGGCTCTAATAGTCTATCTCTGACTACAGTAGTAACAAGGGATGATTTAATGCTCGAGGAAATTGCTAACCTCTGTGATGCCAACCTCAAACTCTTAATGAACCTGCTTTTTCACCACACAAACCTATTGTCTTTAATTTTTTCTTATCTATGAATTTACCTTAATACTTGATTTCCTACATAACAGCATGATGTAATTTAAAGAACACTGAAACTAAATTTCACTTCTGGCTTATCATCTCCTACTAGCTATGTGGCCTTGGCAAGATTACCTTATCTTTCTGGAGTTCAGTTTCTCATTCTGTTAAAGAAAGGTTATAATACTTTGGCCCTGCTCACAGGGCTGTTGTGAGGTTAAAATGAAGGCTTCGTAAACTATAAAGTGATAGGAAAATGTATTACTAACAATTCCATTAGTTTAGTTACTTGCTGCAGTAAAGTGAAATTTCCTTTTAGTCCTAAAACTCTTTCAAGCTCCAAAAGATTATCATGAAAAAGAAGTGGAAATTCATTCTGTTAATCTCATTACCAGTAATCTAAAGGTAGGATAGTACAGCAGTAAAGGCTTAAGTCAAATGGAACCCCAGTGCTGTCACTTTCTAGCTATATGACCTTGTACAGGTTATTTGGTTTCTCTTAAATCCCAGGTAGCCCAACGTCTACCTCATGAGATCATTATGAGGATTTAAATAAGCTCAGCATTTTCTTAGTAATGCTACTTTGAAGAACATATATTTTTTGAAATGCTCAGAAAAGGAGAAATTGTCTTTACAGTGTAAGTTTATTATTGTATCAAAAATATATACAATGTAGAACCTAAATGTATTTTCTGAAATGCCAAATAGAAAATCATTACATAAAATGTGGTTTATTATTA